GAGATGTGAATAAAGAGCAGCTTCTTTTCATTTCAACAATGAAATTGAGTGGAGTCAAAGTTACTGATTCTTTGAGGGTTCTAAAGAAGGAGGTTGGGGGATCTCCTAATCTTTGTTTTACTGCTTCTGATGCTTATAATGCATTGTCATCTGAAAAAGCTGCCCAAATTGAAGGATGTGATGGTAACCAATTGATTAAATATTTTGCCAAGAGACATGTGGATGAGACAGATTTTTATTATGATTTTGAACAAGATGATAGTGGTGCTTTAGTTAGTTTTTTTTGGCGTGATGGTAGGATGATGAGAGATTATCATTACTTTGGAGATTTGTTGGTTTTTGATACAACTTATAGAACTAATAAATATGGAATGATATGTGCTCCATTTGTTGGGATGAACCATCATGGTAACAATGTCATGTTTGGTATGGGTTTTATTCTTAATGAGCGCACCGAGTCTTTTGATTGGTTGTTTGATACATTTTTGCACTCAATGGGGAGGAAAAGTCCCATTACAATTATGACTGATCAAGCACAAGCGATTGCAGCGGGTATAAGAAACATTTTTCCTTCAACTGTTCATCATCGTTTATGTGTATGGCATCTTGAACAAAATTCTAAGAAACACATTGGAGCATTGAGAGCTTTGGAAGGCTTTACAGATTTGTTTGGATATCTTTTGAAGTATTGTGAAACTCCTGCTGAATTTGAATATTTCTGGAAAAGGTAAATTATTGTTTTTTGTATTTATTTTTTATTTTTATTATGTGATATATTTGATTATTATGTGATATATATATGAACATTTAGTGTTTTACATATGATCATACAATTTACTTTGTTATGTATGTTATCATAATATTATTAGTGTCCATATTGTTTATGATCATTATTCTTTACACAAATGTACATATTTTAATTTATATTTTGTTCATTTTTAAATTAATATATGATCATTTCTGTTATACAGGATGTGTGATAAATACAAATGTGAAAATGATGATTGGTTATGTGATTTGTATAAAATAAAGGAAATGTGGTGTCCTGCTTATTCTAAGAAGTATTGGTCTGGTGGTATATTGTCTTCTCAACGTAGTAAAACTACTAATAAGTCAGTTTCACAACGTCTTAATAAGACTCAAGGTTTATGTGATTTTTATCATGTTTTTCTTGATGTCATTTCTGAGTGGAGAAGTAAGGAAGGTGCAAGAGATTACAATACTCTGAGGGGTAATAGGCACCTAGCTTTTGCTAATATTGGTATATTAGTTCATGCAAGATCATTGTACACTATTCAAGCTTATGTTCTTTTTGAAGAGGAGTTCATTAGGGGGACAGCTTATGATCATGTTGATAATGGTTTGCGTTTTCCAGAATATTCATATCTTCTTTGGAGGCCTGGGAAGGATATAATTAAGCATGAAGTTGTTTTTAATAAGGAAACACATGCAATTTGTTGCACATGCATGTACTTTAGTGAGACTGGTTTACTTTGTTCTCATTCTCTTCGAGTATATCATTTGCATTGTGTGCGTAATATTCCACAAGAGTATATAATGAAACGATGGACAAAGGCTGCCATGTGTAGTCATGGTATTGAAGAACCTACTTTGAGGACAAATGTTGTGGCTACTAGTGTTTGGAGGTCACAAACAATCAGAAAGTTTGTTAAGTTGATAACAAGTTGTCAGAATTCTTTGAATGCAAGGGCAGAGGTTGAGTGTTATTTCAATCTGTTAAAAGAAAAGGTTGAGAGTGTATCAGGTGTAATTGACTTTAGTGAACCTGTTAAAGAGGTTGAAATTGTTGATCTTGAGATCAAGAATCCTCCAAAAGCTAGGCCTAAAGGTGAGAGGAATGTAAGGCCTAAGAGTACCTTGGAGAAGCAGTGTAACAAGGCAAAGGGTAATTTCAAGAGGAAAAAGTCTCTGTACACTCCTTACAAAAGGGGTATAGGGCAAGCAGTTGTACAGGTATATGATCATTTCATATTTTCAAATTGATCATTTCAGTTTTCGTAAATGATCATTTATGTTTTTTTTTTTTAAATAGGAACTTGATGAGAACGGTTGTGCTGTTACTTATGCTAATTCTATTAGTGATCCCATTGAATTGATTGTTTTGAGCAATAAACGGGCTCAGGTAAATTCAAATGTGCCAAAAAAAACATTTTATTTATATTTTATTAATATTGATTTTTATAATTTAAAAATATAGGTCGGCTTAAAATCAGCTGTTGTAGAAGAAATTCCTTCTAGTTCTAAGGAATCAAATCATAGTATTTCCAATGATTTTGATCAGGTATATGAACATTTATGATCTATATTATAATTTTTTTTTATTTAATTTTTTATTTTTTATATTTTTTTTTGGTTTTTTTGTAGGCTACTGGTGAAAGCTCTCTTTCATCTATCATATCTATTGATGTTGATATTTCATCTATTGCTAAGGTTTTTTTTTTCCATATTTGTTTGTATAAGTGTTTGTAACTGATCATATACTGGTTTATTAATGATCAATTTAATTTTTTTTAAAGGCGAAGGATTTAAATCTTGAAGGTGTTTCTGCTGTTCAACCTTGTTCTAATTTTGGTGCAAATAAAGGTGCTTCTGGTGTTAAAACTTACTCTCAAATTAATCCAAGAGTTCCAATTCATACTAGTGCGTCAACAAAATCTCCTGTTGTTATTCAACCTACTGTTCCCAGGAATGTTCAAAATCAAACTCAGAATTGTTCAAACACCAATCCAGAAATGATCATATCCAACTCCAGGAATGTTCAATCAACAAATGTTCAAGTTATTTCTCCTACGGTTCAAATAAATGATCAAGGATTTCCTGTTCAGAATGTTCAAGTTACTCCTCCCACAGTTCAAAGAAATGATCAAGGTGCTCGTGTTCCAATTCTTCAATCAAGAAATGTTCAATTAGGTTCTAAAAAGATTTCTTCTAAATATGATAGGTTGTTAGCCTTTTTTGATACAAGTGTAGCTAAACGTTTGGCTAATAAAGATAAATAATTAGTATTCCAGAACTTTATAAACATTAGACTTTTTTGTAATGTTGATTTAATTACTATTTTGTAATTTTGAATTTTCGATCTATTATATAAAAAACTTTCATTCAAAGATTAAAATGAAATATCAATTACAATAATATTAAAATAAAATCCATAAGTCTACTTCTAAAAAAAAAAATAGTCATATATAAGAAATGAACATATACATAGTTGTAAATGAACATTTGAAACTACAAAGTTGCAAATTTTCTAGCTTTCCTTCTATTTGCTCTTGATTCAGTGTTTTCTTCAAATAACATTAGTTCTGCTGTGTATTGGAGCCTTAGATTTCTAATTTGTTCCACCTGTTGAACAAAATGAATTGTCAAATTTTAATTAAACAATCTTTACTGTTTCATAAATGAATATTATATCTTAAATAATTGATCATTTATAACTCTTACATTGTTTGGTTTTAAATCACAAATCCAGCTCTCATTAGGATCAGCAGTGAAGGTTTCCATATGCTTCATAATGTAAACTCCACAGTTTGTATAGTCATTGTTGCTACGCCATTTCATCTTTTCCAAAACAACTGTGTAGTCTTCAATTCTTTTTGCATCTTGATATCCAAGGTGTTTCATGTACTCTGCCAATCCTTTTAACTGATAGAAAAAAGAGTAAAAATTGTTTAGAAGTTTGTATTGTGATGAAGACATGAACAATTAATAAAATATAATTGATCATGTAGTCAACTATAAATGAACATATTATCTCACCATCATTTTTGGTTGTTCTTCATATTTTGCTTGGACTGATACCTTTTTTGGTAGTTTTCTATTGTCAATTATATGAATTTTGTCTTCTATATGATTGACGCACAACAGAAAAAAAATGTTGAGAAGTTGATACTGGGAAGAAGACCTGAACAAATTATATAATGTTATTGGACAATATATTGAAGGTAATTGAACATTTGTATTAAACAAGAATTAATACCTGTTTATATCCAACAATGCTGTCAATTTTATTCAACTTCAGTTCATTGTCAATTCTTTCTATGAAGGCATTAATTCTTGTCTTCATTGATGATCCTTCTTGACAAACTCTATTTGTGCACATAATGTGCTGTTGAAATACAAACAAACATATAGAAGTTAAATGAATTTTTAGCAATTATTTATCATAGGAAAATAGAATCAATAATATAAAAAAAGAAGAAAGACTAACATGAAGCACTGTTGAGAAATAAATCTTGTTTCTCGGCTTTTTATGATTAAGAAACCTTGCCCATCCATCTATGACACAATTTGTCACTTCAACATCATCTCCAAGAGTTTTCATTTCATTTCTATTGATGAGATTCAAGCCATCATAGTATAAGAGTGCACTGCATTATGAACATTTAATAATATGAATGTGAACATATTTTTATAAAAGATATTAAACCTTAAGTTTAATTAGTGTAAGTAATTACCTTTCATCTTTTCCACCAAGAGCAAAGTCTACTGCAATTTGGTTCATGGCTTTCTCATCTTTAAACAGATCCTTGTACTTGACCAAGTAAGGAGATCGGAAAGCAGGAGGAATTGTTTTCTTTTCGCGTTTTGGTCTTGTTGTTCAATATAAAATATTGTTAAATTAAGAAAATTATGAGGAACATAAATGAACATTTGAGTGTATATAAATAAATTTGAAATTATACCTTTCAACCTTTTCCTTTTCAGTTTTTTTCTTCTTTTCTGCAATTGACTTTTTCTTATCATCATTCCTGGTCATATTACATAACACAAATGTACATTTAGGTATATGAAAATGTTCATTATTATTTTTGAACATTTACTTAATATAAATAATGTACCTTTTTGTGACTTTTGAGGATGAAGCAACAATCTTCTTGTTTTCACTGAAAAGTGAAACAATGTCAGTACATATTAATAAAATAAAAGCTTCTTATGTAACACCCTGAATCATTTTCAATTCATAAAATGAAAGATATTGATTTAACATAAACCTATTGATTTAACATAAACCACACATTCATATTACATATTCAACAAAATAATGTTCACACATACAATAGTTTGAGAAACACCAGTTTCAAGTTACAACACGATAGTAACATAAGTTAAATTGTTCCATCTAGATATTTTATCCTACACCATTACATAACCCTAATAGTAAGACATGTCTTCAGGATTTTACCCCTCCACTTTTTCATCATTTTTTGTTTTTTCAAAAACATCTTCCTAACCCTATATCAATAACTTGTTTTTGGGTAGGTGTCATCTTTTTTATCCATGCAATGAACTTCACATGTCCTCCTCTCTTTGAAGATTTCTCTTCCTCAAATTCATCTTCCTGAATTTCCTCAACTTCATCAGTTTCTATTGCTTGAACCATTTCAGTTTTCATTTTCTTTTTTCTCCTACCTTCAATCTTTCCTTCATCATACAGTACCATCTTTTGCTCCTCCTTTTCAACCTTTGCCTTCACTGAATTCCCTTTCTTTGCCTGTTTCTTCCTTGGCTTTACTTCTTCCTCTTCCTCCTCTTCCTCCACCTCATAATCATCCTCACTGACAGGCTCTTCTTCTGCTCTATAAACTGACTCTTCACTATCATCATCACTGTCAGTAGAACTTTCATCAGTAGGATCTTGAGAGGGTTCATCTGATGGTACTTCTTGTATTTTTTTTCTCTTTCCAGCATTTCTCTTGGCAGGACTGACATCTGAAAATTAAATATATAATTTTGTTTAAGTATTGAAAATGTACAGTAAGCAAATGATAAAATGAACAAAATTGTTTTCTCAAATGATCATTCTATATATAGAAATTGAACATTTATAATATATCATTATATACCTGCTTTTCTTTTGCCAGCAACCTTAGAAGTTTTCTTCACTTCTTCTAGAGTTTTCTTTTTCCCACCTATATATTGAAATTGAACATTAATGATATACCATCATAAATGATCATTCTATACATTAAGATTGAACATTTACCCTTTTTGCCTTGGTCTGGAGGATATTCAGCAGGAGCACCTGCCATTTTTTTTATTGGAGTAGGTGCTGGAGGTGGTGCATCAGCTTCCTTTTGAATAGGAAAATTCCTTGTAGACATTCTTCTCTTCTGTCCTATTTTTGCGGTTTCTTTAGCAGGTTCAACATCCTTCTTCAGGCTTCCCTTTTCAGATTCATCTAACAGAACATCTATTGTTTTTTAAAAAAATTATGTTAGTATATTTGAAAGTGTAATATTTATTGTGTAACAGAAAAGTATTATGATTACCTTGGCTCCTTGTAATTCTACCACTTGGCACAACAACAAGGCTTTTGTTTTTGTTTTTCCTTGCAACCATTTTGTATCTTGTTTTCATTTTGGTTGACTGATCACTTTTTTGTGATGATGGAGCTGTCTCCTCACTAAGTTTTGTGGAAACTTTATCATCATCTTGATCTAGAAGATAAGTTTCATCCTCAATTTGAACAAAATCAGGTGCAATTTGTGCTGCATATGAAATGATCAAATATAAAAGATTAAATAAACATTTATTAAATTGGATGACAAATGTTTACTATATACAATATAAATGAACATTTCAGGTAATGAATATGTACATTTTCCACTATTTACCTTTCGGATCTGTTGTCTTTGTAGACTCATCTTCCACTGTTTTCTCTTTAGGGATTTTCTCCTTTTCAGGCTCTTTTTTTCCCTCTTGTCCTTCTATGAAAATTTAATTAGTTAATATTTATATATTTTTTTAATCTTATTGAACATTCAATATTATGTAGATCCAATATGAACATTTTATGTAATAAAAATGTACATTTATAAATTTTTACCTTCTACATTTGTTGTCTTTGGAAAGACATCTTCCACAGTTTTGTCTTTAGGGCTTTTCTCTTTTTCAGTCCCTTTTTTTCCTTCTTGTCCTTCTATTAAAATTTATTTAGTTAAAATTTAATTTTTTTAATCTTATTGAATATTTAATATTATGCTTTTCCAATATGAACATTTTTTGTAATAAAAATGTACATTTTAAAATTTTTACCTTTTTCCACAGTTTTCTCTTCTATTGGCCCTTTTTCTTTCTTTTTTGCTTCACCTTCAAAAGTAATAGTATTGTTAAAATTGATATTTATGACTATTAAACAAAAATATTCAATAAATATGATCATTTACCTTTCCTGATTTCCTTGCTTGCCTTTTCCATTCTTTTGAGATTTCTCATAATTCTGATTGTCGATTCTTTGTACTTTCTGTAAATGTATGATATTAACTTTGAAATATATTCATTAATTGATTAAATTAATTCAATTATTTAAATTTAAACATACTTTGGGTTTCTCTCTATGTCTAAATGTATTTCTTGCATCTTGTCCTTTAATGTTGTTATTCTTGAATCATCTTTGGGTTTTCTGATATTTCATTAAAAATATGTTTGAATTTACAATTTTGATTAGTAAATAAAAAAATGAACATATAACTTATATTACTATTGGCCATGAGCAAACTTTTTTGTACTGATTTTCAAATGAACATATAGTCTATCTAAATTGAACATTTAAGTTTTCTTACTTTTGGCCAAGACTATTCTTTACTGGATTGCTTTGCACTTTTGGTTGAACTTCTTCTTGCTTGCTGAAATCAATATTAAGAAATACTTTAAATAAAAAATGCACATAAATTGTACATAAAATATACTGTTATAAAAATGAACATTTGTTTATATAAAATTGATCATTAGTATACCTTTCATCCCTACTCTCTTTGTCAGTTGTGTTATGTGTAGCAGACACACTCTTAGTTGTTGCATTAGTAGCAGGAATGTTCTCACTTTGTTCACTTAAAAAAAACAGAATTATTTTATATAATATGATATTAAAGTATGAACTAATTTATACAATGAAGAAGATAATTAGTTATTTCGTATAAAGCTTTTATACCTTATTGTTTGATTTGTCTCTGGTGGTCTTGATTTTGACATAACAAATTTCACTCGAACCTTTTTTTTTTCACTAAAATTTTAAGAATTACCTAATAAGTTTGGTATATATATACAATGTACAATAATTGAATGTAAAAACAATTATTTTATACATATAAACTTACTTGTTTAAAGTGTATCTTTCATAACTATTACCATATTCATTTTGTTCTATAACCTTCTTTAGAGTTAATGGTTCAGATTTCCCATCTCTAAATTGAAGCAAGTGTATCACTCTAAATGGCACATCACTACATTATAAATTAATTACATGACATTAGTTTGAATGCATATCACTGAAATGATTATTATCATATTTATATATGTGCATGATGATTTAATGAAATGTATATTTGTTATTTAAATCTCAATGAATACTCAAATGAACAAATATACATATATGATCATAATTATATCTATAAATGAACATTATGAGTATCAAATATGATCATATACAATGATGTTTCAATGAAATGTACTTTTGTTTTTAAATCTCAATAAATACTCATATGAACAAATATAAATATATGATCATAACTATATCTATAAATGAACATTATGAGTATCAAATATGATCATATATAAATAACATATTATACAAAGATAAAACCAATTTTTATCAAATACAACTAGCATATTAGACATGAACATAATATATTCTGTAAATGACTAATTACCTTGGTAGTGGAGACATTGTTAAATCCGTACCAATTGACTTGTCAATATCTTTTAAAAGTTCCGGATCTACAATTGGATCATTTTGGCGGTTTTTTTTCAATTTGTCTACTCTTGACTGAAGAGGTACATCATCATCATCGTCTCTGTTTTATTTAATAAATTGTTAATGTTTTAGTTATTTTCAGTAAAATCTTAGAACAATTACTACAATCGCAAAAAATTTTAACAAAAATTAGGTTTTACAAATAAATTCGCTCTATAATTTTCATCGCAAGAATATGAACAAATTAGGTTTTACAAAAGTTAGAGTTCATACATTTCTTCAGAAATTTTCAACAAATTACTCGTCTCTGAAGTATTTTTCTCCAAAATCATACTACAATTGCAAAAAATTGAACAAAAATTAGGTTTCACACATAAAATCGCACTATAATTGTCATCGAAAAAAAATGAACAAAATTACTTACTCTTTAGATACATTTTGCTCCGATTTTGCAGTTTCTTCTTTCATGTTCTTCTCTGTAGTGGTTTTTTGCAAAATCGCACTACAATCGCAACAAAATGAACAAAATTAAGGTTTCACACATAAAATTGCACTACAATCTCAAAAAATGAACAAAACTAACGAAATTACTTACTCTTTTTGTTGTGATTGTTTAATTTCATCTCGAATATCAGACATTTGAAGCAATTTCAAAGTATTTTGAAGCAGTTTCGTAGTATTTTGAAGCAATTTTGGTTCAGATTTTTTTGTTTTGATGAGAGAGAAAGTCTAGAGAAATGAAGAAGAAGGTTTGAGAGAGAAATTAAAATGATTTGGTGGGTAGTTACTGCAGGTTTGTGGGTTATGGGATGTGGGTAAAATGATAAGTTTAGAGGGGGGTGTAGGTACCCCTACCTACACTAGGGTCTAGTGTATACCAATTAGCATCATGTGACAATTTTAGTACGATTACATAGAAAATGTCAAAATGAGGCCCAACTCCAAAAATATAGTACACCTATATTTTTTTTATTTTTTCTTTTTTTACTAGTAGTACACCTTTATTTTTTTTTATTTTTGACAAGAGTAGTACACCTTTAATTATCAATAGGCAATAATTTTAAAATTTTAAATTATCAATAGTATATTGAGATGAATTTAATAAAGTTTTATGGAAAAACTTTTTTCATTAAGCATGGAGATGGATCACAGTATAAAAGTCAAATTACGCATCTTTTATAAAATATAAATAAGATTAAAGTCAAAATGTTAACTATTACAAGTACTTGTAATAATTTCGTAAATAAACAAAGGAAACATACAATTAGTCAATCGAGCCTTTTTTTTTTATTAATGAAATTTAAAGGAGTTTTTTAGAATTGTTTTTTCCAAATATAATAACCTTTTTTTTTTTTGAAGAATTCCAAATTTGATAACTTAGCTAAATATGTTTCCTCCGTTACGAATTACTCGTAACAAAGGAGTATTATTTATGAAACATAAATTCTTTTGTTGCGAGTAATATGTAACGGAGGAAGTAATTTTCTCTCTTGTAAAAAAAATATAAAAAATAAACTATTACGAAAATTTGGCTATATGAAATCTTGAAAAATAAGGAAGAATTTTGCTTAGTGTGATAAAAATGTACAGTAAATATTATGTCACCGAGAGTTGACATATATTTGATGAATCCCTTTAATTTTCCTATATCAACACAACTGTCAAATATTCTAAAAGAATGGCGGTGAACCAAATATGGTAAATACAATAATTCAGCCTTTTTAATTGAGATTCGAGTAATTGATTTTACTTTTACCAATCAAATCAAACTGAATCTTTGAGATTAAACATACGTTAATTGCTTAATTTTTGTTTCTTTTACCATTTTACCCTTGATACTTGAAGGATGTATTAAATATCGAAATATCTATATGCACTCGAATGTAAATACCGGTACTTTAGTGGATATACTTACGCACCTAGCATAAGGGTCTGTTCCGATTGACTGAACTCAGCTGAACTGAACTGAACTGAAATGAGCTGAACTGAACTGAACTTATTAATTAGTGATTTTTAACTACGGATTAGTGATCTTTGATTATTTATTGATTATTTATTACTATACATATGTGTATATACAAATGTACATATTAAAATATTTACGAAAAATATACTATATAATTATAATTATAAAATGTATGGAAAATATATTAAAAACTTGAAACCTCTAAACATTTTAAACACATATACTATTTATTATTATTATTATTATTATTATTATTATTATTTATTGATGATTATTATTATTATTTATTGATTATTATTATTAGTATTATTATTGTTATTATTATTAGTATTATTATTGTTATTATTATTATTATTATTATTATTGTTGTTGTTGTTGTTGTTGTTAATAATAATAATAATAATAATAATAATATTATTATTATTATTATTATTACTATTATTATTATTATTATTATTATTATTGTTTTTGTTGATGTTGTCGTTGTAATAAGAGCTTAAAAGAATGAAATTTGGCTTTATATCATTAGCAATATCATTAGACATAAATTAAGAGTTGAGCTGAACTGAACTGAACTGAACTGAATTTTAACGGAACAGAATAGGCCCTAAGTTTATTTAAAGATTTTAAACCACGTATATGGAATACCTACGTCTAACCAGATGACCACTAAATTCGACAATCGTCAATCGATGAATATAATATTTTTATGAATTTAATTTGGTGTTATAATGTGTAGGTTTTGAGCAATGACGGATACAAGAGCGTGAAGCACAAGGTGGAGCTAAACAAGAACAAGGAAAGAGTGTCAATATGCTATTTTGTGTTTCCAGAGAATAACACTTTGATTAATAGCTCAAATTACAAGCCTTTCACTTACAATGAATTTCGAGCTCAAGTTCAGCAAGATTTAAAATTACATGGTTGGAAAATTGGTCTCCAAAACTTCAAGCTTCAACAACTTTCGTAGATATTAAAATCAGTGTACTATTTTAAGCAATACCACATACTTAGCTTTAGTCAAGAAAACAATGTCTTATACTCTTATAAGTATTCTTCTTCTTTACTTCCATCATTAATGTTGGTATATCCAGGTGAAAATAATGCAAGTCATTACTTTTTTTTTTTTTTTGAAGGAAAAGTCATTACTTTTTTTTTTTTTTTTTTTAGGAAAAGTCATTACTTATTTACTTCGATTATTATAATAAATAAATATAAATACTACTTGAGTTGTGTCATAAATACATGGAACGCCTTGATTTTAAATTTGCACTATCCACATAATTTGATCGATTTGATTATTATTTTGTAATTTACTTCCATCAATGCAATTTTTCATAAATGAAAGCATATTTTACAAAATATCAAAATTTTAAGACTTTTACCGATATAAGATTAAAAGTAATTGAATGATCTGTGTAAAAATCAAAGTGTTACAAGTATTCCGTACTCCGTATTATATAACAGAAAAAAGTATGTGAGACAATATTAATGCCAAAGGGGATATTAAAAGTGATAATGAAGCGAAATTAATGATTACATTGATAAATTAAAGGCAAGCTTAATTTCAGTTCAATTCAACTTAATTTCAATTCAGTTCAGTTTAGTTCACTTTCAAATTTCCTTATCTCGTAAACAATTTATTTCAGTTCAGCCCTAATCAGTTTAGTTGAGTTGTTTTCGGTAAATCGGAGCAGATCCTAAGGCATTAAATTAATTAATCCTTGTAAACGACTTCAACCATCATACCAATCACACTTTTTTTTTTAATTTTATTTTTTACTCGTATTATTTAAATTAATATACTCTGTATTATCTTATTTAATTATATCTGAACGACTAAAGTACCATGATTGCCTGAATTTTATGTGGGTCATTTTAGTAAATTAAAAAAAATGCGTGAGAGGATAAGTTGAAGCATAGTAAAATAATTTTAAGTTTTAATTAAAAATATGGGTCATTGTAATATACTTGTTTCAAAAATTACCTTTAAGTTTAAAATCATAATCTTAAGATTTTGTTTTTTTAAAAATAATTTAAGTTCATCAAAAATAAATTTAATTCAGTAAAAACAATACCATTTTAGCAAAAAATAAGGTGCAGTGAACGAGATCTAAAACTTGATAGTTTCATTTCTTTTTTATAGTACTACGTGCTTCATATAAGACACAATAAAATTTAGTATGGTGCATGGACGTTAGATTTCCTTTTTATTTTTTTTGAAAATGACAACGGAAACTTAATTAAAATGAAGTAGTTCACTTTTATTAGTTTATAGTATTATATATACGAAGTATTATTCTGAGCATACAAATTGCGCGTGAAACCAAATTTGTCCCCAAGGATTTACGATTATTAAATCTCAACCAATACGATAACACCTTAAGTCATACGGAGTACTTCGTAACATTATAACTTAATTATTTTATAAGTATTGCTTTGTTTTTTTTTTTTGTTTTTTTTTTTGGTGTTTAGAGAGCCGCAAGGGCGTGAGGATCTCCTGGAATTGGGAAGGCTGCTCTAACCACTTGAGGTATACCGCACTCTCTAAGTATTGCTTTGTTAAAACAAAGACTCAAATAATATGCACTTAATAGCCGTTTTACATGTCGCCATTAACAACTTTTAAAACAATAATAATAGGCATGTCCTACTATATAAAATGGGACTTGTTATTCATCGCCCGCAAATCTCTACATAAAGCCCACATTTTATAATTTTTTGACAAATTTGCCCTTTTTATAATTTTAACGGAAGATAAATTTTTCGCACTAAAAAAATGTGGAGCAGCACCGGATCGCCGAGGATCACCGGAGAATCGCCGTCGTCATCGGAAAACGAGGTTCGTAACGCATCGTAAGGACGAAATGGTGGCTGGCGCCTAGCCAAAAGGCCATGCCGTGGTTGTGGCGCCTAGCCAGGACGCCGCCACCGTGGTCACGGCGCCTGGTGGAGAAGCCTCGACCATAGTAGTGGCGCGTGGCCAGGACGCCGCAGCCACGGCCAAGGCGCCTGGCCAGGACGCCGCCACCATGGCGGCGGCGTCCTGACCAGGCGCCCCGGCCGTGGCTCCGGCGTCCTGGCCAGGCGCCAGTAGGGGAATATTTTTTTTTTTTTTTTTTTAATTTAATCCCTTTTTTTTTTGTTTGTTTTTGTTAATTTAATCTTAATGTAATTATATTTATACGTTATATGTTATTGTTACAGGATTATGGTGGAGACGGAAATGATTACAGTGGGATTTTTGTACATGATGGCCTGTTCGAAGATGCTCAACAAGCGATTGATTGGGCAAAACAGGTTGCAATTAGATCAGGCTTTTGTTTAGTAGTAGCAACTCATAAATCTCAACGGGATGGTAGAATGGATCGCATTTTGAGATGCGACCGTTATCGCAAAAGAGAAGAACGAGATTTCAGTAAAGCGATTCGGTTTGACTCAAAGCGGAAAGGTTGTGGGTGTCAGTTCCGAGTTAAGGTTCGACAACATCAAAGGCGTGACGGTTGGGAAGTGAAGGGTTACGGCAAATGGGGATATCACAACCATGAGCTGATAGCATACAAAGTGGGGCATCGGCAGTTAAGCGGCCTAAGTCCAGCTGCGAAACTAGTTGTAAAAGAAATGAGTGATGCTCAAGTGAAGCCCGCTAAAATATTAGCGTCTGTGTTAGAGAAATTCCCCGAAGACCAGCCAAACCGAAGACACATCTACAACGTCAGACAGAAATTGAGGTTTGAACGGTCAGAGGGAAGGAACCCTATACAGCAGCTTCTGCACCAGGCATAAGCACGTGGTTACCTTTACTGGTTTGAATCTGACGAAGACACATCGGAGGTAACTCATTTGTTCCTTGTCCATCCTGATTGTGCTGATATGATTTCGTCTTGGCCATCTGTGATTTTGATCGATTCAACGTACAAGACAAACAAGTACAAGTTCCCACTGGTTGAGATGGTTGGGATGGCTCCAACGAACCAGAACTTTCTGATTGGTTATGCAGTCATGAAGGATGAGACGGCTGCGAGTTACCGTTGGGTGTTGGAAAAGTTGAGAAACTACATCGGCCCAAATGTACAGCCATCGGCCATCGTAAGTGATTGTGAGGGAGGTCTTTTTGCCCCTATAGCGGAGGTGTTTCCGGAGTCGAGCCATTTACTGTGCACATGGCACATCAACAACTGCGTGAAAGTCAAAGCCTACAACCTTTTCAACAAGAACTTAGATTCAGCAGAGAGATTGGTAAATGGTAAGTGGCGGAAGATCCTGCAAGCTACCACGGAGGCAGAGTACGATCGAGCCTTGGAAAACTTAAAGGATGCGTACAAGTGGTGCCCGCCAATCGTAGACTATGTGATGCATCAGTGGGTACCTCAGAGGGAAAAGTTTGTCAAATATTGGACGAACCAAGTTCTTCATTTTGGGAACACTACGACATGCAGAGTCGAGAGCGCTCATAGAGCTTTGAAGGACTGGATTGATTCTTCCACGGCTGCTCTGGATACACTGTTCGAGAGAATAAACAAGGCTATTGATACTCAGAGGAACGGCATCAAGAACTATCTCGAGGACTCCAGACGACGACATGGCATGTTGTATGGCCATTTCATATTTAAGATTCTCCACGGTCGTGTGTCACACCACTGTTTGGGGTTGATTCTGAGCGAGTATACCAGGATGAGGGAGTTGGGCGATGAAGTGGCTATTCGGTGCGGATGTGCTATATCAATGACTCATGGATTACCTTGTGCATGCACCATTCACCGCGTAATTACGCAAGACAGGGCGTCGTTACATGTCGATCAGGTTCATCCATTCTGGCGGACGCTCGTTATCGGAGAGCATGCTGTTCCGCATACGGTTCACCGTGAACAGGAGGAGTTGGAGCAGTTTCAGATGATGTTTGACCAAGTGTCCTCCAGTCACCCTTCGATCATTCGTAGTGCTACACACATACTTCATGACATGTTCAATACATCGTGTTTGGATACCGAGGAACCGGAAGGGGTCGAGCGACCTAGGGGTCGACAACCACGGCGGAACAAGAGTGCGTTTGAGTACATTCGCGGTCGTGGCCGTGGCCGTGGTCGTACATCCTCATCAAGTGGCAGCCAATCATCGTCGTCGGTGAATATGCCCGGCACCGGAACAAGAGTGCCTTGTATTGTCAATACTATGTCATTTCTATGTGTTCATTTTTAAAAGATAATGTTTCATTTTAAAAACTAACAACAATAATTTCAAATATTACAAACTAAAAAGATAATATTGAATTTTAAAAACTAAGAACAATAATTTCAAATATTACAAACTAGAAAGATAATGTCTAATTTCAAATATCAGTAATCCCTCTGTGACGCCCACTGCCACTGCTCAAGGGTCCGTTCCAGATCGTCAATAACAGCTCTGCCTGATGCACTCGTCATGCAGTCCCTTTCCTCAAAAAGTCGGTGTCCCAACTGCATAATCTTGCCCATCCACTACACAAAACAAAAAACATGAAACGACGTATTATACATATATATATTAAAATAAGAGAACAACAAATAAAAGATGAGACGTACCGCATAAGAGGCAGTGGCAGGTGGCACATCGTCATCATCTGCGTCGTCGATGTCTTTGATCAACCTCGGGTGCGAGTGCCGGATGTACCATTCCATGTAGTGCTGGTCACACATGGCAGTCACCCCACTTGGCGGCCGCTGCAGCTCCGCCGTCCATAGGCGGGCAACCATCGGAAACTACTCCTCACGACGTCAATACTCTTCCCCGCACCAGGTCTAAATTGCGATGCCTAACTCCAAGTAAATAACGAAACATAATAACGAAAACAAATTAAAAAAAGTCGAAAATAAACACAAAAGCAAATAAACAAGTCACGGAAATAAAATTATAAACATAAAAAATATAAAATTAAAACAAATAAAAAAACAAAATTTAAAAAAAAAAAAGATAAAAAAAAAGGGAACATACAATTTAAAAAAAAGAAAAACAAATTTTTTTAAAAAAAAAAAAAAAATCGAAAATAAAATTTAAAATTAAAAAAAAACAAAAAAAAAATTTAAAAAAAAAAAAAAAGAACGAGGCGCCTAGGCAAGGCGCCTGTACGGTGGTGTCGGCGCCTAGCCCAGACGCCACTACCACGGCCGTGGCGCCTAGCCTCTGCGCCGCTGCCGTGGTAGTGGCGTCTGGGCTAGGCGCCGCCACCACCGTACGGGCGCCTTGCCTAGGCGCCTCCTCCGTGGCTGTGGCGTCCCGCCTTGGCGCCCCACCGTCGCCGGAGGTTTTTTTTTTTAAAAAAAAATTACAAAAATTAAAAAAATTACCTTCTGGCCGGCAAACCGCCTTCCGCCCACCGCCGGTGCCGCCACTTCCTTGCCGGGCCGCCTCGACATAGCTCTGGAAATAATTTAGAGAGAGAAAGTGGAAGTAGAGAGTAGAGAGAGAAATTGTGTGTTTTTTAGTATGAGGGCAAAAGTGTCATTTCACTCTTATTTTGTGGGCTTTATGTAGGAATTTGCGGGCGATGTTTAACGGTTCACTATAAAATCACTTGTTACTTGTATAATTCCTAGTATCTAATCTTCACCATTTTTTTTGATAGAAAAGTTAACAACTATCAAACAAAAGTAACAAGTTGCCTTCATCAACACATGTAACAATCTTAGCTCTAAAGAAATTCTCTCAAAAAAATAAAAATCAAAATCAAAATTAAAAATTTGAGCTTGGGGCACAAGGACTAAAATTAATTATAGATTTTTTTAATATAAAAAAAAAGTGAGTAATAAAATTAAAAAATAATTAAAATTAAAAAAAATAATTAAATAAAACCCTTGGGAAGCTGAGTCTGTTGTGGGTTAAGTTAGTGAATTATCTCTCTCCTCTGCTGCTGACTGAATAGCCGTACCATCACTTCAATGGCGGACTCTGCTAACCACAGAAAGAGAAGGCGATTACTTTCTCAAAAAAAGCTTCTATTAGGTGATCATGTCGAGGTATTTTCCATTCTATTTTTTTTTTCTTTTTGTTTTTTAGATTTTCATTCTCAATTCGTTTTTTTTAATGAATTTTGGGTTATTTTTTGTTTTTATTTTCCTCTGTTTTTTTATACATTGGAGATAATTCTTGGGGTTTTCATGTGTTTTTGGATGATTCTTTTTGATGATCGAATACCCTTTTGTTTGATCTTTGATGGGTTTTCTCTGAATTTTGGTTTTTCTTTGGAATTTTATTTTGATCAAATTTTTATTTTTCGGGTGAAATGCTCATGCATTGTCTGGAATTGGGGTTTTGTGTTTGTGCGTGTTGATTAATATTGTTGCATTGATGATCAGAAATTTTTTTGTTGGCAATTTGATTTTTTCATGCATTCCGCAATTTGAGTTATATTATCAATTTTGGCTTAATCCAATTTGATTAATTGATTTATATTTTTATCTGATTTTACTGTTGTTGAATTTGCAATATCAAACTAGGGTTTGTGGTAATTTTTTGTTTTTCTTGTTAATTATCATGGCCCCATGGGATAACTTTTAATCCTGCTTGTTCACTATGTTCAGTGAATGCTGTTGTTTGATTAATCTATTTCTGGGTTTTATTTTATGAATTCGACAGACATTTAAAATATTAACATAATATGATCCTGATTTTGTTAAAACTTTGAAAGTTAACGACAGTTTGCATGCTTGTTGTAATATCTGGTGTTTAGGTGTTAAGTTTGTAGATCAGAAAATGTTGCTTAGGATAATGGATAGTTCTGTGGTTCTGTCAATTGTATTTGTAGAAATCATGGTGTTTGTTCAGTGGAGAATGCAGACTGAGTTATATGGATTTTATGTAATTTTGATTTGTATTTTTGGTTTGTCTGTCGATCATACAAGAAAGTAGTGGTATTGTTGATCATGGTGGGAATTTGCTTGAATGTTCTTGTTAATTGCTTTGTCTGGTTCAGTTATTGACTTTGAAAGTAATTGTGTAACTAATGCAGGTTAGGAGTATAGAAGATGGATTCCAAGGATCGTGGCATGCTGGAGAAATCATTGGTTTTGAGGATGGATGGCGAGAAGTTAAATATCTACATCTTCTTCATGATAATGAGGTTGACTTTTTAACGGAAGCTGTGGAAGTTTCTAGTTCAATTGACCGAACCTCCAGCACATCAGAAAAATGTGACCGAGGTAGGATTAGACCAATACCCCCCACATTTGGTAAATTGGTAAAAGAGAATCTGAACTATGGTCTTTGTGTTGATTGTTGGTATCACGACGCATGGTGGGAAGGTGTGGTTTTTGACTATAAACATGGTTCCAGTGAAAGGAAGATATTCTTTCCTGATTTAGGTGATGAAATAAGGAGTGATGTTACAAACTTACGATTAACTCATGACTGGGATGAGATTTCAGGTGAATGGAATTGTCGAGGGAACTGGTTGTTTCTGGAGATCATTGAGGAGTATGAGAGGGATAGATTTATCCCTGTTTCCCTGAAGCAAATATGGTACGATATGAGAGGAAGAAAAGAATCTGGTGACATTGGGGAGTGGCCTTTTCCTGTGAAGGATAAGCTGGAAGACCTGGTAGCGCAGATCATTGATGAGAATTTAAGGGTAACTATAGATGCATTTCTGAAAGGGTGTATCTCTTCTGAAGCCATGTCAGAATTTCGTGAACCCTTGTCTGGTGCTGTTGTTCCTTCTGTAGATATTAGCCTTCGAGATGTTGATTCGACTAAACAGAATGATGCTGCCTTTACAATGATTGGCGTATTGTGCAAAAATGCTGAACTGGCAATGGATTTACAGGATTTTACCCCCACCAACAATCAAGTGGTTCCTGTACAACCCAAGGCTCTGTCAATTATATGTTCAGATCAAAACGGGCTTGATGTTAACATGAAGCCTTCTGCAGAGTCCCAGTTTAGTAATAAATCTAAAACTGATGAGAAAAAACAGCTGCGGATAAAAATTAAGCGAAATTTACAGCCTGATCACAGTGAAATGAACATCGAACCTGAGTGCTGCCCTCAGTCTATGTATGATTATGCTCAGCACGAAAGGCCGGGAAACAATTTGACTACCAAAGTCAGGAGCTATCTCAGTTTTTTGGGTTATAGGATGGAACAGGTTGATAAACTGAAATCTGTACGTTACTCCTCTCCCGGAGGAGGAAGAACGTTCTATAATCTTCGCCAATGTATCGACTATGAGAAAAAACAGGCAGAGAATTCCTCCCTAGCAGTGGAAGATATTCGGAGTAGCAGTCTGAAGTGTACTTCACCGCTTAACGTATCTAAAACCAGTAAAAAAGGCAGTCAAAAAGGACGGAGAAAAGTGTTGAATCTTAATATTGAACCTAGATATTGCCCAGAAGCTGTACTCAAGTATGTGAGATCATTGAAGACAAAGGACCCTTTAAGCAAGGCTCGTAGTGAATTGCAGGATGAAGCTAGGGGGCATTTATCAGCTATTGGCTGGAGCTTCTGGCCTAAACTAAAGCAAGGAGTGGAGGAGTGGCGCTATGATTCCCCTACTACTAATAAAACATATTATTCACTATTGTCTGCTTGTAAGGCGATTGTAAATGGTATTGAGATGCTTAGCTCTGGTCCAATGGTAGATGTACAAAGTGAAAACTCCAAAGGGCACTCTGTTGAACTTTCATTATCTGATAAAGAGAACCACGGGCGAACCATTTCTCAAAGATGGGCCAAAAATTTTCCTCGGGCTATCAGGAAGTATAAGGCTGGGAAATTTGGAGATAATGGGTTTGCAAAGAGACGTTCTATCAGAAAATTGAGGACCAGTTTCTTATCCAAGAAAAAGAAAGCCTTGGGTAAAGTAAGGACCAGTTCGAATAGCTGTAACCCATCTCGGGTGCTGCGATCAAGCAAAAGAGTACGGCAGGCAGGGACTTGTAAATCATCAAAGGCCCCTCGGACAGTACTTTCGTGGCTGATGGACAATGGTGTGGTGTTGGGAAGGGAAAAAGTCCAATACTGTCGGCAAGGGGATGATAAGCCTATAGCTGAAGGAAGAGTTACTAATAATGGGATAAGCTGCAGTTGTTGCTCAAATATTTTTTCTCTTAGTGGCTTTGAAGCTCATGCTGGTGGCAACTCCCTCCGACCAGCTGCGAATATATATTTTACCAATGATGGGAAATCTTTGGCTGAACGTCAATTGGAGATGATGAGTCAAAAAATCAAGAACATACCTAGGGAACCACTGGAAAGGAGTAAGGGGAAACGACATAAAAGCTGGAATGACCACATCTGTTCACTTTGTCACTATGGTGGTGAATTACTTTTATGTGATCGATGTCCATCATCATTCCATAAAGAATGCCTTCATTTGCAGGTTGGCTGCCCCCTCCCTCTTATTTGGCTTTAATACTTCGTCATATCTCATCTTAATTCTAATTCTTATCTTTCTTTCTAGGACAAGGACATTCCTGAAGGTAATTGGTTCTGTCCATCATGCTGCTGTGGACTTTGTGGTGAGAGCTACTTTGATATGAATGCAGAAAGTTCAACTAACAAAAGCGTGCTATCTTGTCATCAATGCGAGCGGCAATGTAGGTTTTTCTGCTATCTTTCCTTTTCCTTTTATTGTGTCTATCTCTATAGGCTATAGGTATAGGAAAACAGTTTGGTTACTGGTTTTCTGTATACCCTGCAGATCATGCTCACTGTGTAAGAGAAAGAGTGGAAGATAAAATAGATAATCATCCTACGGAAAACTGGTTTTGCTGTAAAATGTGCGAAAAGGTACTAGTCATTCTGCAACTTCTGTTGAATTTGTGCACACACTTTGCAGTCATACATAACACTTGCTGATTATTTAGATCAGTATGAATTTAGTATTTGAGATGTTTTATCAAATCTTATCCATCCTCCCTGCAAAGGTAATACAAAGAGAAAATAATTGAATTTTACTCAAAGGCTATCTTACAAAATATCATCCTCTCTGCAATTGAAATACAAAAGAGAAAGTAATATATTTGATTTAAAGACTATCATACAAATTATCCAAGTCCACAAGAGCTCATTAATTAATATTTATGGAGTTAATTCTTTTGCTTAATGTGCTCCAGTTTTATATTTGAAAGGCTATTGATTATTATTAAGATATTGGTAATTGTTGATCAAAAGACAATTTATTATCTTTTGTATTATGATTTCCCTGGATATGTAACTGTGTATTCAGAATTCCTTTACAACATGTTTGGATCTCAAAAGAATCTCAAGGAAAGGAGGAGAGTGATGGTTTCAAATTCTTTTATATGGATTGGAAGAAGAGAAGGATTTAATTGCCTTTCCTCGTGAAAAATCCTTTAAAATCCGCCATTGCTAAAAGACACTTTTGATATTTGTAAAAGGTTTAGTTTATGTGTGCACATACATATTAAAACTTGCTTATTTCGTCACTATGTTTTACTCTAGATCCTTCATTCCTTCTGTTTTCTTTGTCCAGGTCATCCTCCAAATTGTAATAGATAATTGTCTATAACTATCTTAAAATTTAGTGCGTAGTGAGTAGAGCTAACAATGTAGGGGTGAGTGTGAAATAGATATCTTGGCTACTTTAATATAGTAATGAAGTCTTAAATTTCTTTACTGTAGAGAATCATTCCATTTACTTGTGTGTAATTGTTGTTCCATGAAGACCTTTGCCGCCTTGATTATCTTTTCTGGATTTGATCTGATTACATGTTGAATTTTGTAGGTGCACTGGGGTCTCCAGCAGCTTCTTGGCAAACCCATACTTGTTGGTCATAATAATTTAACATGGACATTGATCAAACCCATGAATTACCTGGCCTATGAGCATGATGATTGTGATGTTGCTGCCATTACAGAAAATTACAGCAAGCTTGGTGTCGCTCTTGAAGTGATGCATGAATGTTTTGAGCCTGTGAAAGAACCTCGAACCAGGCGAGATCTTGTTGAAGATGTTATCTTCTGCAGGGGGTAAGTATCTTAGATCTTCTAGAATGAGTGAATGACTGCAAATGCAACTCTAGTTTTATGCTTTCTCTTATCCATCCTGTTCTCATAACTCGTACTACCGGTGTTTTTGGAATTCAGGTCTCCCCTCAATAGGCTGAACTTTAGAGGATTCTATACAGTGCTTCTGGAAAGAAATGATGAGTTGATTACTGTGGCAATTTTAAGGTATACACTGTTATTGATTCTCGATCGTGTATATACAGTTTCTTTGATTATTAATACTTGAGCCTAAAATCACTTTTCACTTGTAAATGTGAAGGGTGTATGGTGACAAGGTGGCGGAAATTCCACTTATTGGTACCCGCTTTAAGCATCGCCGGCACGGAATGTGTCGAATTGTTATGCAAGAACTTGAGAAGGTACTTTGCCTCCTTGCATATTAATTTCTGCTCTTGTTAGATCTTGATTAAGTAACACATTTCATCAGGGGGCATGTTTTGATCTAAACTCGAACCTCTCCCCCTTTCTTTTTGTTTCTTTTTTCGACATGAATATTGTACGACTCTTTTTATTCCTGGGAAACCCTCTGTGTCATTTTTATATGGCCATGACCCTGATGACAGGTTTCCAATGCAGCCTAGGAATAAACTTGTGGTTCATGATTTTTCCATCACTGCAGCATAATAATAAGATTGACGCATTTCAAAATTGCAACTAGTCATTTCTTACTCTTTTTTAAATATCCAGAACTTAATCGATCTAGGAGTGAAGAGGCTGGTACTTCCTGCCGCTGCAAGTGTGTTAAACACATGGACAACGGCATTTGGTTTTATTCCAATTTCCGATGATGAGAGACGTGAATTTCTGAGTTACAGCTTCTTGGATTTCCAAGACACAGTTATGTGCCAAAAACTTTTGAGAAAGCATCCTTCACCTCTACTCCTCATGTCTAGGGATGTGTCTGGTAAGCATTTTTTTTTCCCCATTTTGGTTTCTGAATGATAAAATGATACTCAGATGAGTTGTCATTCAAATTTTATAATTATCTTTTGGGCTGCTGCAGGTGTCCATCATCAAACTCCGCGCAATGTAGAAGGAAACAGTGTTATTGATGATCCTGAAGGGAACAGTCCCATATCTGAAGTTTCCCAAGAAGACCAACTTGAAGGAGAATTAGCCAAGTATGCCCTTCCTTGCTTAATAGATCAACCATCTAGAACCTAATTATAAAATGAAAGTTGGATTAAATATTTTTAGATCCAAGCCAACTAGAATGTACGATTAAAATGTCATTCCATACCCTTTTACCTGTGCAGAATTGTAATTATATCTTTATGATAACCTGCCAGGGTGCACATACATGGATAGTAAAAGCTTGGCAAAAATTCAACTTCATTGTCCTGTAACAACATCCAAAGAGAAACATCAGCAAAAATGAAATATGATAAGCTATTCATCTTGCATATCATCGTCATGAGTATTCGGGTCATGGAGACTTTCCTTATGGAGTGACTAAAATTCTTAGTTAATTAGCATCATCTCTACAAAATACTGTGAACCAGCTAGATACTGCTAAGATCCATTGAACTGGTAAAGCTAGGTTCAACTCCAAGATTAGTTAAATTGCCCCCCCCCCCCTCCCACACACACAAAATCACCGTTTTCACGTTTTGTACAGGAAGCATATGAAATATCCTAATTAGAGTATTAGGTTCCAGAAATTTTGTGTTTCTTTGCTTCTGATGCCTGACTAGTCTGTTGTTTTTATTTTTTGATATTTCAGTGACCAGTATGAGGAATCAAATGGTGGTGATAATGGTCAAGACACCCCTGTTGCTATGGTAGAACTTAATTTTCCTTCTTTTGGATTTTTTTGTTGAACCTCTGTCCATGGAATGTTTTTACACAGTTTTGTGCTTACAGGTGACTGATACAATCAATCTAGGAGGTGAACTATGCAACTCCTTGGAGTTTAAGGAGCAGAAAATCGAACGCGATAGATGTGAAGGAAATTTAAAGTTTTACACAAGAAAGAAGGCTGTTGAACTAAGACCTCCAGTTCCTCAAACTAACTGCTCCAAGGTAGAAGTAAGTTGTAGATAGTTTGGACTTCTAAAGACTGCTAGTCCTCAAATGCTTGTGCCTAATACAGGTTTCAGTAAAACCCCCCCAGGCATAATCTGGTAAGAGTCGGTATTGTGATGTCGGGATTTTGCTATAAACCCAATTTTGTAACCTCTCTATGTATTAGGATAGTTTATCAAAGCGAAGCTGAATCAGAGGCGTTAGGGGAACCATTTTTTGAATAGTTTCTTGTACAGCTTCTGTTTCTTTTTCTGACAAAATCCATAAGAGCTTATTTTGGTTAATCTTCTGTTTGTAAAATGCTCTTAGTGGAAATTAATTCTAAAGTGTAATTGGAATGCTATCTATAATAATTATTTATTTGTAATTCATCTCCATATGTTTTGCCCCTTATTCCACATCAAGTACCATCTTAGAGGACATGCCCTGTTTTGGTCTTCCAATTTCTGGCCCGAACGTTGACCTGACCTTATTTCATCGGATTTGGCCTGAAATTTTTTGCCTGTATGGGCATTTTTTTTTTACTCTATCCTTGCGCCACCGGCTATTCGGCTATCCCCTCCTTGATCTGGTTTAAGTAAGTGATGCTTTTAGCATGGAGAACAAGAAAAGTAGGAATTCCACATTTGTGGCTCATTGATATACAAAGGGGTAAAACACTAATCATGTCCTAAGCATGTAGGTGAAGGAAAGTAAAGAACATCTATAATTAAATCCTCCAAAATTACCTTCAAAAGTAATCCTTTACTTTCTTCAACAATCCTGCAGCTGTTGTTCCTCGGATCACATTTTGTGCCTTAGTTGAGATTCTTATTATGCATACTATTGCAGAATCTAGAAAAATAACATTGGATATAATAAATTGAATGTATTACTAAGGCCCTGTTTTCAACTTAATTTGGATTATACTCTAATATTTTGTAAGAATAAAAAAAAAAGAAAAGATTAAGTGCAGAAAAAATTAGTAAATTCAAAGAATATAATAGCAAATTGGTAAAATTAAGCTTTAAATTAACTTATATTGTCTTACACCAATTTAAAGTTCAAAAATCCCTTTTCGATTTCAATTTTCTGATGCAACCCACAACAAATTCCTTTAACACATACTCTAAGGAAAAGGTTAGATACTCTACACATGGACAACTCTATACTATAATGTTTTATTAATTTAATTTCATTTAATATAATATTCAATATAAATTAAGTTTAATAACGATCAGGTAAAGTGAATAGAGTGTATGATAAATTTCAGTATAAAAAATAAGTTAAAAGGTTGTTCTCCTTGTATTTTTTTTTACCCTAAAAGTAAGGTGAATTAAGTTTAGCTAAATAAAGTCGAGCAAAAATAAGGTAAGCATTTTTAAAAATTTTAAAATTTAGCAAATCGTTTTTATATCAACAAAAAAAAGTTGAGAAGAATATAGTCTAATCTAGAATATATAGGGATCATGGTAAACATTTCAGCAATTTTTATTTTCGGGCGAAAAAAAGTCAAAAAATTCCAAAATTGAACGCTAATATCCACGTTTTTTGAGAGAAATTTTGAAGGTTCTGGGGCCCGGTGTCGAAAAGTCTTGAAATTCTAGGGGATACATCTCAGGGTCATATAATGTCGTTTAAAACCATATATGATCATTATTAGTTGTCATAAATATTCGTGGTAGGCTTGAATTAATGAAATCGGTGCAAGTTGTAAACCGGTAAATTGGTCGTTTAAAGGCAAATTGGATGGTTCCACCCACCCAATTGGACTCCCGGAGGGTATTAGGGACCATGGTAAACATTTCGATAATTTTTAATTCCGGGGCAAAATAAGTCAAAAAATTCCAAAATTGAAGGCTAGTATCCACGTTTTTTGAGAAAGTTTGGAGATTTCGGGGCCCGATGTAGAAAAGTCTCGATATTTTAGAAGATATATCTCAGGGTCATATAATGCCGTTTAGAACCATATATGATCATTATATGTTGTCATAAATGTTCGTAGTAGGCTTGAGTTAATGAAATCCGTGCAAGTTGTAAATCGGTAAATTGGCCTTTTAAAGTCAAATTGGATGATTCCACCAACCCAATTGGACTCTTGGAGAGTATTAGGGACCATGATAAACATTTCGACAATTTTTATTTTCGGGCAAAAAAAAGTCAAAAAATTCCAAAATTCAAGGCTAAATCCACGCTTTTTGAGCAATTTTTGAGGTTTCGGGGCCTGGTACCGAAAAGTCTTGAAATTCCAGGGGATACATCTCGGGGTCATATAATGTCGTTTGGAACCATATATGATCATTATTTATAAATGTTCGTGATAAGCTTGAGTTAATGAAATCAGTGCAAGTTGTAAACCGGTAAATTAGTCGTTTAAAAGCAAATTGGATGGTTTCACCCACCCAATGGGACTCCCGGATGGTATTAGGGACCATGGTAAACATTTTGGCAATTTTTATTTCCAGGCGAAAAAAAGTAAAAAATTTCAAAATTGAAGGCTAATATCCACGCTTTTTGAGAAATTTTGGAGGATTCGGGGCCTGGTGTCGAAAAGTATTGAAATTCTAGGGGATACATCTTGGGGTCATATAATGCCATTTGGAACCATATATGATCATTATTTATTGTCATAAATGTTCGTGGTGAGCTTGAGTTAATGAAATCGATGCAAGTTATAAACCGGTAAATAAGCCGTTTAAAGGCAAATTGGATGATTCCGCCCACCCAATTGGACTCCCGAAGGGTATTAAGCACCATGGTAAACATTTCATCAATTATTATCTTTGGGTAAAAAAAATCTAAAAATTCCAAAATTAAAGGCTTAATATACACGCTTTTTGAGAAATTTTGGAGGTTTCGGGACCCGGTATCGAAAAGTCTTGGTATTCTAGGGAATACATATCGGGCTCATATAATGTCGTTTGGAACCATGTATGATCATTATTTGTTTTCATAAATGTTTGTGGTAGGCTTGAGTTAATGAAATTGGTGCAAGTTGTAAACCGGTAAATTGGCCTTTTAAAGTCAAATTGGATGGTTCCACCAACCCAATTGGACTCTCGGAAGGTATTAGGGACCATGATAAACATTTTGGCAATTTTTATTTTCGGGCGAAAAAAAGTCAAAAAATTCTAAAATTGAAGTCTAATATCCACGCTTTTTGAGAAATTTTGGAGGTTTCGGGGCCTGGTGTCGAAAATTCTTGAAATTCTAGGGGATACATCTCGGGGTCATATAATGTCGTTTGGAACCATATATGATCATTATTTATTGTCATAAATGTTCGTTCGTGATAGGCTTGAGTTAATGAAATCGGTGCAAGTTGTAAACCGGTAAATTGGTCGTTTAAAGGAAAATTGGATGGTTCCACCCACCCAATGGGACTCCCGGACGGTATTAGGGACCATGGTAAACATTTCGGAATTTTTATTTCCGGGCGAAAAAAGTCTAAAAATTCAAAATTCAAGGCTAATATCCACGTTTTTTGAGAAATTTTGGAGGATTCAGGGCGTGGTGTCGAAAATTCTTGAAATTCTAGGGGATACACCTTGGGGTGATATAATGCCGTTTGGAACCATATATGATCATTATTTGTTCTCATAAATGTTCGTGATAAGCTTGAGTTAATGAAATCAGTGCAAGTTGTAAACCGGTAAATTAGTTGTTTAAAAGCAAATTGGATGGTTTCACCCACCCAATGGGACTCCCGGATGGTATTAGGGACCATGGTAAACATTTTGGCAATTTTTATTTTCAGGCGAAAAAAAGTCAAAAAATTTCAAAATTGAAGGCTAATATCCACGCTTTTTGAGAAATTTTTTAGGATGCGGGGCCTAGTGTCGAAAAGTATTGAAATTCTAGGGGATACATCTTGGGGTCATATAATGCCATTTAGAACCATATATGATCATTTTTTGCTGTCATAAATGTTTGTGGTGGGCTTGAGTTAATGAAATCGGTGCAAGTTATAAACCAGTAAATAAGCCGTTTAAAGGCAAATTGGATGGTTCCACCCACCCAATTTGACTCCCGAAGGGTATTAAGAACCATGGTAAACATTTTAGCAATTATTATTTCCGGGTAAAAAAAATCTAAAAATTCCAAAATTAAAGGCTAATATACATGCTTTTTGAGAAATTTTGGAGGTTTCAGGACCTGGTATCGAAAAGTCTTGATATTCTAGGGAATACATCTCGGGCTCATATAATGTCGTTTGGAACCATGTATGATCAATATTTGTTTTCATAAATGTTTGTGGTAGGCTTGAGAAAATGAAATTGGTGCAAGTTGTAAACTGGTAAATTGGCTGTTTAAAGGCAAATTGGATGGTTTCGCCCACCCAATTGGACTACCGGAGGGTATCAGATACCATTGTAAACATTTCGGCAAATTTTATTTTCGGGTGAAAAAAGTCAAAATTTTCAATAATTGAAGGCTAATGTCCACGTTTTTTAAGAAATTTTAGAGGTTTCGGGGCCTGGTGTCTCAAAGTCTTGAGATTTTAGGTAATACATCTGGGGGTATATAATGTCGTTTGGAATCGTATATGATCATTATTTGTTGTCATAAATGTTCTTTGTAGGCTTGATTTAATGAAATCGGTGCAAGTTGTAAACCGATAAATTGGTCGATTAAAGGCAAATTGGATTGTTTCACTCATCCAATTGGATTCCTGGAGGGTATTAGGGACCATAGTAAACATTTCACCAATTTTTATTACCAAGCGAAAAAAAAAGTAAAAAAATTCCAAAATATAAGGCTAATATCCTCCTTTTTGAGAAATTTTGGAGTCTTCGGGGCTCGATGTCTAAAAGTATTGAAATTCTAGGTAATAAATCTCGGGGTCATATAATGTTGTTTGAAACCATATGTAATCATTATTTTTTATCATAAATGTTCGTGGTAGACTTGAGTTAATGAAATCGGTGCAAGTTGTAAACTGGTAAATTTATCGTTTAAAGACAAATTGGATAGTTTCACCCATCCAATGGGACTCCCGGACGTTATTAGGGACCATGGTAAATATTTTATATTTCGGTAATTTTATTTTCAGTCGGAAAAAAGTAAAAAATTTCAAAATTGAAGGCTAATATCCACGATTTTTGAGAACTTTTGGAGGATTCAGGGTCCGGTATCAAAAAGTATTGAAATTATAGGGGACACATCTCGGGGTCATATAATGTCGTTTGGAACCATATATGATCATTATTTGTTGTCATAAATGTTCGTGGTAGGCTTGAGTTAGTGAAATCTGTGCAAGTTATAAACCGGTAAATAGGTCATTTAAAGGCAAATTAGATGGTTCCACCCACCCAAATGGACTCCCGAAGGATATCTGGGACCATTGTAAACATTTTACAATTTTAATTTTCGGACGAAATTTTTTTAAAAAAACTCCAAAATTGAAGTCTAATATCCGCGCTTTTTTGAGAATTTTTGGAGGTTTCGGGGCCCGATGTTGAAAAGTCTTGAAATTTTAGGGAATACATTTCTGGGTCATATAATGTCGTTTGGAACCATATATGATCATTATTTGTTGTCATAAATGTTAGTTGTAGGCTTGATTTAAAGAAATCAGTGCAAGTTGTAAACCGGTAAATTGGCCGTTTAAAGACAAATTGGATTGTTCCACCCATCCAATTGAACTCATGAAGGGTATTAGGGACCGTGGTAAACATTTCAGCAAATTTTCTTTCCGGGCGAAAAAAAGTCAAAAAATTCTAAAATTGAGTGCTAATATCCACGTTTTTTGAGAAATTTTTGAGGTTTCAGCTATATAGGGTCTCAAAAATAACTTGGCAACAAATAAGTTAAGTTGAACAAAAATCGGCTCAATAAAATAAAGCATGATTCCCTTTGCCACACACACTTATCACAAACTTCATTAGTTATGGCTAGTGAGTCAGTTTTTAAATCTCTAGTCATCCGTTATCATCTAATCAAGTTCAATTTGTGGTAGTTCAAATTTTTACTACCCAAAATCGTTTTTGAACTCATAAACTCTTTTATCAATTAATTAAGGTTCGTTCTCCTAAACCTATTAGATTACTCGGAGAATCCAAAATCAAGCCTTTTGTGACAACTAAAAGAAACAAGTGAACATAACATAACTTGATAAGTAAACATCTCTTGCAATCCTTTCTTGTTCCTCACGTGTACCTTTATATTGTGACATGCACAAACATTTTCTTCTATTCCTTCCCTTTCATTACACTCACTAATCTCATAAAATTCTCTCCATCTTTTTTTCCGAAGTATCTTTTTTTTTTTAAAAAAAAAAAAACTTTTTCTTTCTATTTTCCAGCTATTAAAAAGCACTCTACAAATCTCATTAATCAAGAAAAAGCCTCTTCAAATGGCTTTTTCTTCATCTTCATACTCTGTTTTTCCCCTGTTTTTGTGTATAATTCTAACATTTACCCTCCATTTTAGACCAAATTCTTCAGCTTTATTAGTGAAATTAAGACACCATTATAGAAATCATCACAGATTACAAAACCCAGTTGTTCAAACTAATCAAACTTATTCATGTAATCTTTTTGTAGGAAGTTGGGTTTATGATAGTTCTTACCCTATTTATCAATTTCATAAATGTCCCTTAATTGACCCTGAATTTAATTGCAAATTATTTGGTCGACCTGATTCTAATTACCTCAAGTATCGTTGGCAACCTGCTTCTTGTACCCTCCCTAGGTACACTTTTTTATTACCTCGGTCCGCCCGAGGAAACTTCATTTGAACCAGTAATGTGACAACTAAATTCAGATGTCGGGTTTTTATTTCAGGTTTGATGGGGTGGAATTTTTGGAGCGGATGAGAGGAAGAACAGTGATGTTTGTAGGAGACTCATTAGGTAGAAATCAATGGGAGTCTTTGATTTGTATGATTTCATCTACATTGCCAAGAAGATCTTCTCCTACTCATATTATCAGAGGGGACCCACTCACCTCCTTCAAATTCTTGGTAAGCATTTTGATTAAGAAATTTTTAATTATATTTTCTTGGAAATTTAGCTAATTAGGACATCCTAATTATAATTAAAATACAAAGTTTACATTAATAATACTTCCTACATTAGTTCCTTGTTATCTACTCGTATAAAGTGTTAAAACTTAAAATTACTCCGTAATTGACTCGTGTCCTTATTCGTACATTAATACAAGTACTCATATACAGTTTGTGGTCACACAATATTGTGGTTTTATGTAATGTAAGGTTCAATAATTTTTTTTGACACAAAGGTTCAATAATTTTGTATTACTCAAGTTTGTAAAAATTTGATTTTTATTACAAGTGCATTGTATTTTTCTATAAATTTGGAACAAAGTTCGAAAAATTTGTGAGCTCGGAGTCAAATTTGGTTCAAAAAATATCCTAGAAGGCTAAAATAGTTGGGGGCCAGCTTGAGTGTTTTTATGGATGATTGTGATCATGAAAAAGCACAATATTTTTAACCCTTTTTGACGTGATACTTGTATTAACAATTTTTCTTCATTTTGGGGCACTAAATGGGCCCACTAAAACTAGTGATAATCAATTTTATTGTACAATGAATAATCAATGTGTCAAGGGAGAAAGATAATATTGCTCCATTCATTGAGTTTGTTTCATGGAATTATTACTTGGCAATTATTTGCCATTTACATTATTAATACCAATAATAATTCTAATTTTAAGTTCTTTGTGTATGTTAAGTTTTTATTGAGAGATTGTGTATGTAAAGTTTGCCTCAAATATAAAGAGAGTATTAAGCTCTTTGTGCTCTTGTGTGAATCAAGTTCTATCTAAATTACGTTGTTGTATTTTTTCAGTGATTGTTTATAAATACTCATGCCGGGATTATTATATTATAATTTTACTACATATTATGCTTAAATGATGCTTATTTACAAGGGATGATTTAAAGGAGACTCTACACCAAAAGGCTAATTTGTTCAAAAAATAAGTCCGATGCCACATTAATTTTGTATGTAGGTCGAATTCAAATGAGATTATTATGTGATAATAAACAATAATGTTTGGAAGATTATTATGATTAAATATTTTTGGAAATGTTAGAAATTGAACACAACAAAATGCTTAAACTTTGTGCTTTGAGCCAGCATGGAGTGTTGGTGTAACATGTTTTCCTAGGTTAACGATGTATTCCCATTAGTCAAACATTAAAGTGATAAATCTATGAATCTATCTAATCTTCCACTAATAACTTTAGTTTATTTGGTCCGGTTCAATTTAAGGAGACAATAATATTGAAATAAAGTAGAATTAATGTCATAAGATTCTTATAATATGGTTTATGATGCAGGAATATGGCGTGACAATATCATATTATAAAGCAACATATCTAGTGGACATAGATATAGTTCAAGGCAAGAGAATTCTAAAGCTTGATGAAATTTCAGGCAATGGAAATGCTTGGCTAGATGTTGATGTGCTCATTTTTAACACTGGTCATTGGTGGACTCACACAGGATCTCTTCAAGGGTCAGTCTCAAATCTCAATGCTTTCATTTTTAATATAAAATGATAAAATTTTCAAGTTATATGTTAAAATCCTAGTTTTTTAAAGGTCCTATCAATTTCGGAATCCAAGAAGTTTCATTCTATGTACTCTCTTCGTCCTTAATTTTAAAGCATTGTTCCTGTTTCTTATTCTATGTTGAAATGACTTTAGGCTAAAAACTACTCCGTTGTAAAACGTTAGATGCTTCGTGAAATATCTTGAATAACATTACTCGCCAATTCTTGCAATGAGGCTTACGCGCGCATAATACACTCATTGGTGGGGAGCCAAGATCACTGTATAGATTTTGAAAAATGCCCTCCACAATGTGAACAAGCTATGGTTTGTTAGTGATACAGCTAACTTGTCAGTATTGGTGTTTTTTTCAGAGGGAAGACAACTAATAGTACAAACAATAAGTTGAATAAATACATACTAGTATAGTTTCTGAATCTGAAATTGTTGTGGTGGCAGATGGGATTATATGGAATCAGGAGGAATGTTATATCAGGATATGGATCGGTTGACAGCCTTAGAACAAGGCTTGACGACGTGGGCTAGATGGGTTGACACCAATGTGGATACTACAAGGACCCGGGTTTTCTTTCAATCCGTCTCTCCGACCCATTACAAGTAATTTCTCCTAAAATCTCTCGGTTTTTCCCACATGAACCTTGAAAAAAATTATCATATGCCAAATGACTGTTTTTTGAATGTATGTGGCAGCCCAACAGAATTGAGCTCTGGATCACTGGCAATGACGAAAAACTGCTATGGGGAGAAGTCTCCGGCTAATGGAATGGTGTATGCCACTGACAGGTATCCAGCAGATGATGCAGATCAAATGAGAGTGATAGATACAGTGCTTAGCGAAATGAGCATCCCTGTCTATCTGCTTGACATTACTATGCTGTCAGCTATGAGAAAGGATGCTCACCCTTCCATATACAGCGGCGATCTCACCCCACAACAAAGGGCTAACCCTCAAAGATCTGCTGATTGTAGCCACTGGTGTCTCCCTGGCTTGCCTGATACTTGGAATCAAATATTTTACACTGCACTGATCTATTAATTCTATTTTTTCCCCTGCTAATATTAGCACTAATTTGTTTATACATTCGACAATTAACCCAGAAAAGGGGAATGAAATTTATAGTTTAGCTGTAAATTTTACAGTAGCAATACACAATGAAAAGTAGACTTGACAATTCTATATAACTATACAAGAAATGTCGTATAAAATTTTACTTACTACGCAAGTGAAAATAAAATCTAGTATTCTATAGCAAAGGCATAGAAAAAAAGCCAAATATATTGATCAAACTCAACTTTACAAACTGTTAGAGATGCATCCACATCTGATCGACGAGGAACCAATTGAGCCAAGTAAAAAGTACTTTCTCAAAAGAAAAATTCCTCTATGGGTGAATGAATATTGGCATGTTACAAGTATCTGTTAAGTATACACCTCTCTTAATAATTAAAGACTCTGCATGACTTCTGAACCTTCCCAAAATTCTACATGTTCAAAACTGCGAAGAGAGAGAATCAAGTCTAAAGGATTAGTCACTTGACTACTTGAGTCTCATGGGCATAACTCTTTAAAAAATTGATACCACTTTTGTAAGCACAAAATGCTTGTTTGAGAGCTCCAACCTCCTTGATTCAGTCTTGATGATATACAAAAATCTCACTATTCCTACACCACATTCAAACCATGTACGTCATGCCTACTTGCATTACATGAGAATGAGGCACACTCAAATTTGCAGTTCCTCTGCGGCTGTTCTTCCGTAAGAAGGCGTAAAAATAATTTACAACAAGCTTTTTGACAAACCAAGAATCTTTTCTTGCCCTAATATCACCATGACCTAGCAGATAAACAACCCCGGATTCCTTAGCCTGATGAATGAAGGACAGCTCCCTCTCAAGACTCTGTTCTTGATCAGATGTGTCTGATGGAGTGTCTGGCTTCATCCCTCCAGAAGTGCTTGGCTCTGAAATGCGCACATTTGTGTCATTGAAATCTGTTAGAAGAGGAACGCCAAGTGAAAAGGAACTTCCATTTTGGGCAACAAGGAAATTTGAAAAAGATTCTTCCTCGTAATCTGTATAGTCGACCCCGTCACCATCACTTTCTAGAGATCGTTCTTGCGCTTCTCGGCGAATAAATTTCTCAAGGCTGTCAATAAGTAACTGCTCAAATATCTGATGAGTCTCTTTGCGAACATCTTTATACCCATACCTGTCATTATCAAACCATTTTGACTCAAACTCCAAGGACGTAGCAGCATCTGACCATACTTTTATAAATGAAAATGCAAGAGAACAAATCTTCATGAAAATGCAAGGAGCATATATGTTCAACTAAAAAAAAAACTTACCGGGCAATGCAACGAAACATGTGATAACTCTTTGAGCACACACGTCGGAAGAGGAATCTTTCATTCTGTGGCACCATCGACACTGGCACATACTTGATGCAGACAAAAATAATCATGGAGTGAATAGCAGGAAGGGTGGTTATGAAATGACCAAATATGGCTGGTATTCCCCTTACTAGCTCATTATAAACCAAGCCTATACCCGGAGCTCTAATGGTCCCAAGATTAGGGCCCAGCTGTCGGAGAAGATCCATTGACATCTTTTGCTTGACTTCAGTCTCATATTTCAGTTTACTCCCATAGTTCCATACACACATCATAAGAAACATAACAACAGCAAATAGCAGTATGATCCAACTTCCATCACCCACAAACCATAAAACTGAGGAGAAGAAAGTTAATTCTATCCCCATGAAGACAACAAGAAAGGCCACAACAGTAACGACATTTATCTGCCAAATAAGAAGCATAACAAGGGTTACCAAAATTGTTGTCATCATCATAACTCCCAACTCAGCAATGCCTGCCCAAAAAAAAAAAAAAAAAAAACACTATTAGAATTGAATTTGCAAATTCGATTGAAAATGGAGCTAAGAAACTTAAACTTGAACACTTAGAGATAAAATAAGCATAGATACATTTCATCTTCATTTATTGCTGGAACCAAGATGAAATAAAATTACCAATGAACTGAAGTATACATACAATAGAGAAATAGTAGAATAAACAAAGATGAAAGCACTACTTGTATGAATTATGACAGTTAATCATGATTCTGCTCCATCAACAAGATCTTGTACTATTCTTGTAGAAATTCCATACCACCAACAGTTAATGAAGTAACAAACTTACTCTTCGTTGCCGTCTCTACTCAAGCAACATAAGCTCCAAAAAAAGCATCTTACCATACCACCAAAGAAATGACTCGTCCACCAAATTACCATGACCTAGACCCCTGAGCTCAATACTAATGATCTATCCATTGTATCCTTTCTAAAAACCAGAATAATTCACATGACCCCTTACCAATCTTAGGGTTACACAAGGTTGTGAAAGAAGGAACAGGTACTTCTTTTCAGCCGATCGGACTTAACAGGCTTGATTAGCAATTAAGTAATAATATCCACATATTAATAACACAAAATCAAAACACCAACCGTGAACTCCTTGTTTAGTTATTCTCACTCGATAGGCTCAACCAGACAACCTAATCAACCCTATTCCAACATGACTCCTTAAAAGAATCAAACTAAGATAACAATAAAAACAAGCACTTTTTCTCAGTTGATCAAGTTTCACTCTCAGTTCAGCTCTGTCAGCCTTCCTCCATTGTTCGACTTTTCTACAATTACCTAAATATCTGAAGTTTGGTGCTCATCACTTGCATTTTATTTTTTTATATGTTTAATCAGCAAAAATATTTTCATTTCTACAGTTACATTCACAAAGACATTTTTGGACCAGTGCCAGAGAAAACCAATATAGCAGGCCCTAATACTCATAGCTATTTCATCACTTTTTCAGCTCAAAGAAAGACAAAGAACAAAAGGAAAGCAATTTGAGAGACCATGGAATAAGAAATTACCATATGAATTCCCAATCTCCGTAGTACTTGGAACAGAGCAGACCAACACCACACTGGCTGCAAGCAAAAACCAGTTCAGAACAGGAATGTAGATCTGGCCCATGAATTTTCGAGATGTATGGATAATTTTAAGTCGAGGAAAGCAGCCAAGTGCAGTTGATTGCTTTATACACGAAAATGTAGCAGTAGTCATATCTCGACTAGCAATTAGTGCTGCAATGTTAGCAATAATGAAAACAGGCCAAAAGGCACCACCTGAAAAGGCAAATGAAACATTTTTAGTGTCTCTTTTCCCAGTAATATGGATATAACAGAAGAAAATGCTTTTTATTCTACAGATAACACCCTCACCCTTCATCCAACCCCAAGTGGATAAAAAGAACCTACATTGCTCCAACTATCCCATGCTATCGAAAGGTACCTAGGGTAGTAGTATACTAGTATCCTAGTCAAAGCTTACATATTGAGTTGCTAATCAGCTGCAAAGAAGTAAGAATGGAAAGAACAACCAAAGGGACAAAACACACACACACACACGCACACATAAACACTAGGGCCAACTGATAGGAGCATAGGGACAACAATAGCTTCTCCATCTATATAGGTCATCGAATGAAAATTTACCATGACCATTCTAGCAAACAAAGGCCATAGAATTTGTATTTTAGTAACTCACATTGAGCAAACCCAGGCAAACTTATTAAGGAGTAATATTAATGAACAGAATCCCCATCCTCCCTGGTGGTAAAACAAGTAGCCCATATGGAAAACATTACGCCAATGCTTAATCAAAGGTAAGAACACGAGGCTAGAACATGCACAAGACAAAAAGTATTATAGTAGTAAAACATATAAAGCTAAGGCTTCTTTCACATCTCTCAGATAGTCAAATCTTCATTCTATTTGAGAAAGGTTGCTGTTTAAGTTTGAAGTGCAAAAGAAGCCTGAGTTGAAAGGCTAATGATGCAATGCCGAGAATATAATTGATTATGCCCAACATACTTGAATGAACAGTAAAGCTACGGTACAAGGATAAAATTTACTAGGTACAGATGAGTAAAATGCTTGGGCGCAATCTCCTGGATTCTGCATGAGGTAAGCTGCCTGGCCAAGGTATCCAAAAAGGAGGCATGGAAATACAAGAAACACAAAAGTGAGCTGCAAACAACCAACAAAAATATCAGTGAGATATTTTATGATTCAATTTTATATTCTTGTAAAATCAATAAATCACAGAAAGTGGTTAATAGCCCAAGCCACTTTACCTGAACTGATCTCACTGAAAAGTAGCAAAGGTCAGCAAACATAGCTTCAGAACCTGGACAGCAATTTTTCAAGTAAATTAAGTGATTTTGAACAATGGTCAATAAATTCAATACCACTACAAAGTTAAGATACTTTCAAACTTGCAGCTCCTCAACTTTTTCTAAAAGCAAGACACTCATGGGAGTCAAGAAATCAAAATGCTAGGTAGTCTAAGTTTTAATGTTGTGATACCCTAACATCAAGCAACGATAAGGAGCATATTTGACCTACTCTGCTATAATACATTGAATTTTTCTATTCAAATCCAGTCTATAAGTTTAAAAAACCGAGCCATCTTAATTCTAAAGTTTCAAGTAAGTTTAAAAGACCATAGGAGCAAATTTCAGATCCGTTCTTTTAAAAGAGTAAAGAAATTTAAATCAAGCAACAATAATTGGAAGAAGTCAATAGTAAGCTAAACAAGAACCAAATGTAACCGTGTGTAAGTGAGTAGGTGGTTTTTTTTTTTTTTTTTTGGGGGGGGGGGGAGAGGGGGGGTGCGCAATACAAATAAGCAGTGCAATAATCTAACATCAATGAATTGGGAAAATCAAATAAGATCCAGCACAAGATAGCAGTAATCATCTCATGATTTTCATCAACGGTATACTAAATGTAAATACCTGTTGCACATAGGAGACAACCCCCAAGAGCATACCAAGCCTCTATTTTGTTTCTTTTGAAATAGAAGTAGATGTGGATAGGGTTAAAAGCCTTCCAGACATCTCGATCATACTTCAACAAGTTGTGGATTCCAATGCCAGCCAAACAGCAGAACCATATGAATAAAGCAGGGCCAACAATGAATCCCATTTTGCTGGTACCATATCGCTGCAGGCTGAACAGGAGTATGAGAAGTGCCACAGCAACCATCACAACTTCCTCTGC